CTTTGCAGATTATTTTTTCTGCACTCCACCTGTTTAATCTGTGCGCGCTTCCTCTGTTTTGACTCCAGCCGGTTAAGTCATCAAAAAGAATTGCACGGTTGGCCGGTAGACTACAGATCTCTATCATAGGACAAATTTATATCGTTTCTACTGTATATTGTTTATATCGCTCATTCCTGGTGTTTGATGTGTTTGTGTTTTGTTGATTTCAGATGAAAACTTCATTCTAAGCTGGACGGCCGGAGACTCACAGAAGAGGAGATGGAGAAGCCGGTTCTGCAGACGCAGCCATCCACCTTGCCCTTTTTTGACACAGCCCACGCCTTCAACCTGCTGAGAGGAATCCATGAACTGCGTGCCGAGAGGAAGTTTTTTGATGTGACTTTGTGTGCCGAAGGTCGAGAGTTTCACTGTCACCGCACGGTGCTGGCTGCTGCCAGCACTTACTTCCGGGCCATGTTTGCGGGAACGTTGAAGGAGAGTGTAATGGACCGGGTGGTCCTACACGAGGTGTCAGCTGAACTTCTCGGTCTTCTGGTGGACTTCTGCTACACGGGGCGGGTCACAGTCACGCAGGATAATGTGGATCTTCTTCTTAAAACAGCAGATTTGTTTCAGTTCCCCTCGGTCAAAGAGGCCTGCTGTGCTTTCCTGGAGCAGCGGCTGGATGTGTCCAACTGCTTGGAGATCCAGGACTTTGCTGAGGCCTACGCATGCAGAGAGCTGGCCACCAGCGCTCGCCGCTTTGTCCTCAAAAACATAATGGAACTAGCGAAAGGAACAGAGTTCCAGAAGTTACCGTGGAAGCGCCTCCTTGAGTTTGTGTCGGACGACGAGCTGTGTGTGGACAAGGAGGAGACGGTGTATCAGATCGCAGTGCGATGGGTGAAGGCTGACCTCCAACGACGGCTGCACTACTGGCCCGAGCTCCTCCAGCAGGTCCGACTCCCGTTCGTCAGGAGGTTCTTCCTGTTGGCTCACGTGGAGAGCGACCCGCTCGTCTACCTGTCCCCCACCTGCCTCCGCATGGTGAACGAAGCCCGCAGCTTCCAGTCCTGTGAATACGACCGCCATGACAGGCCGTGTCACCGCATGCGGCCCCGGCCGTCTACGGGCCTGGCAGAGATCCTGGTGGTGGTCGGAGGCTGCGACCAGGACTGTGACGAGCTGGTCACTGTGGACTGCTACAACCCTCAGACCGGACAGTGGCGCTACCTGGCTGAGTTCCCCGACCACCTTGGAGGAGGTTACAGCATAGCTGCTCTGGGCAACGACATGTATGTCACAGGTAAAGCAGAAGGAGCGCAAAGACGCAATGAGACGCTTGTCTATGTTGATCAGTTTCAGAATCGCCTGTTTCTAAGGGCTGCGCGGTAAATGTGATAGACAGTAGAAACGGTATGAAGTTGGCCTACGGTAGAAATTTATACTCTATCCTATCGTCTTTATGTCATCACAACTGTGTCAACAGGGCTGCGAGTGCAAAGAAAACTGAGCAGAAGGGGTTTGAAATATAATGAAGAAATTATATTGTTTTAAAACACGTATAGAGAGAATACAGTAAATCCTCAAAATTCCTCCCTGCTGCTGTAGAAAAGTTACGTTGTGTCGCGGGATGCAGGATCATTTCCTTCCTCCCGCTGCACGTCACGCAGAGTGAAGCTGTGGTTTTTTCACATCCAAGTTTTCGGAGAAAAACCTTGTTTTTTATGTACTGTTACACACAGAGATGATTAAAAAAAAGACATGGACGTTTGTTTAGTCATAAATCCATCTGGCTAATGTAAGCTAAAGTCAGCTTCTACTCTGATGATGAAGATGATGAAGATGAGAGCGCAGCTAGGGCTGCCACGATTAATCGATTGATTGACGACTAATTGATTATTAAAATAATCGATGACTAATTTAATAATCGATTAATCGTTTCCTTTTTTTTTTTTTGTTCTTTACTTTGTTTTTCTCTCCAAACTGCTTTGACACCTTCCACTGCCACATCTRCCTTTCTGTCCTTGACACACATGCACAGTAGTGGTAACTGGGGTAGGCCGTGGACGTCACAAGACATTATACAGACAGGCTCTGGTATCA